CGACAACCAGGCCGAAGAGGCGGGCGGGCGGACGATATTTACCGGGAGATTAAAAAATCGAGGGAAAAATTAAGTGTTACGGGGGCACGCCCCTGTTCTGGACTTAATTCTACGTAATCCTCTGCTAAGATCGCCGAACCTTCCTCCCCCTCTCCAAGGAAGGTCGATCGAGATTTTCATCTCCCTTCATGTAAGGATACGTTTTGTCGCTTGCTAATCATTTAGAATTATGCATAAAAAAATGGAAAGGATTTCTCGACAAATTTGTCAGTTGTTATCTAAAAGTTAAGTAAAACAATTGGATTTCAAACGAAAGAATTTTATTCTATGCTTTCGCAGTCTTGTTAGTCGATAAGTAAAAATCGAATATCCTCGTAGCGAAACTGAGCAAAATGAAATTTCGACCGACTGATACAAAATGCTCTGCGAAAGGACTTTTTCCCAGCCGGTCGTCCTCAAATAATAATGGAACTTAATTACATAAGGCCAAGTCGATATGTTGGCGGTACAAATATTTAGAGGCGAACGCACGGTGGTCGCGAAGCGATGTTATTAGTAAATTAACTGACATCAAAGAAATATATATATATATATATGTGTGTAATATATAAATGTATATATATTTTTTGTACAGACATTTATAGGATATTTATATATATATTTATAACTTCAAAAATATTTATAAAGCAATCGTGTAGGAAAAGACATATTCGTATCTATCACTTTGCTCATAAAAATCTTTGAATAAATTTCGCAAGCTGTTCTTATCAATATCTTCTGTTAAATTATGTGTTTCAACAAAATAGATTATTACAGAATCATGTGAATGTTCAATCTATGTCTACAATAGCTATAACTTCTAATAATGTAACTCAATACGAGATATATCAATGTGTGTTTGAATTTTCTAAAAATATTTAGTCGAAATATTTAATTAGAAATACCTACTTAATTGAAAATTTAATAAATAATTTAAGTTTAATTATTTAAAACATTAAATAATAAATAAATATATGATGTGTAAAAATTAAATTTTATTATTTTATTTGGATCTTAATATTATTGAAATTTAGGATAAGTAATGTTTCTCAATCTTCATCTTACTTTTCTTCTGTTCATTTAATATCATTAATCCGTAGCAATCGTTTCTCAGAATATCTAATTGTTTTGTCATTAAGGTGAACATTTTAATAATCGTCATAAGTAAAAATCCCGAGGATTGTCGACATTTAGAGGGATAACACGCGATTCTTTTGATGGGAAACCGAAAAATCCACCTACAAGACGCGTACCGTCTCATCTCTAGGACCGGCTTCGCTTCACTGGTGTCCGTTGCGGAAGGTCTTAAGGGTGATTTTTTCTCGTTCCTCAGCTTCACTGGACTAAATTTCGCGCGTTAAGCCCTCGGTGTAATCCTGCCCTTAATATTCAAAAACGTGATCGCCCTACCAAGAGTACCAAGGGAACTGGTACTCATAGCTAGCCCAACGAAGACGCCACCTCGACGGGTAGGGAGCTTTTCATATGCTAATTGGCATTCGTCATTTTCTTATGGCGCCGACTTAAGTGTGCTTAAGGCTGCTAACTCCTTTCCTGGCGTTAGAGAGCTGGCTATGCCTCGCCAGCATCTTCGTAATTGGACCTCTCGCGATTCGATCCGCGCTCACATGTAAGCGAACACGGAATTCGTCCTTCCCGAAATCATTTAAAAACCATACGTCAGTTCAGCAAAAATGTGAACCCAATCAATAAGAAGAATTTACTAAGCTTTTCCGCATTTCACAATATTTTTTGTGTTTTATAGTGCAGATATTTATTCGTGCGTCTGATTTTAAAATATAGACATGTAGTCATTAATGTATGGAAAAGTAAAATTAAATAATTAAAAATTTTAATAGAAATCTTTTAGCAAAAGGGTCATAAGATATTAATTAAATAGAAAGTGCAAAATAATATCTATTAAAATATCAACTCACTTTGCATTTCGTCTGTACATGACTTACGCTTTCGAATTAACTTATAGAATTAAAAAATATACTTGAAAATATATTTAAAAAGGAGAAAAGTTTTATGTCTAATCGCCTAATGTATAATTCGTGTAGATGTGAATAAATTTGTGTATGAAATAATCGCGAATAGATTTGTATACGATCATACAAGTTTCATAAAAAAAATGTTACAAGCTGATTTTTTTCAATATAAATATTTTATAAAGAACTTTAATAATATTGAGAAAAAATAATCGATAAACAATAGTAACTCCAAAATTAAATTTATAATACGTAACATAACTCTAATATTTGTCAAATTAAAAAATTATAATTTATTCTTTTTAAGCAACAGATCTGTGATGTAATCTTGATATGATATGATATAATAATTTATTATAAATTAACATAAGTATATCTGTAAATTTATTATATATAATTAACATATTTTTCACAGATCTGTTCCTTCAATAAAAAGAAAGTTCATTCACTCACCAATATTGAAGCAGCAGAAGTTATTTATATACATTGATTACAATGATTCTGTAACATACAAATTAAAGTATTATTCAAAAAAACAATCAAAATTTCAAGAAATAAATATTGAATGTTAAATTTTCTTTCTTATTTTGGCATAAATAGTATTATATGATAAAATAAAAATATGATTTTTGAAAAGACTCTTTCTCTAATTTATACTTAAATCATTGAAATGAACGAATTAAGTAATCAATAAGTCAATCAAGTAAGCAACTAATGTGACTAATACATAAGTAATATACACATAATAAATTACTTACGCCAAGATTTCTCTGCGTCCGATCCGATGCCTCTCATGGGTCTGTTATATCTAACCTAACCTAATCTAATCTCCTCTTCTCAAATCATCTCGTTGTCAGATTGTCACTCTTCCTTCTGTTTCTTCTTTAGGTTGCATTCGCATGTCATTAACAGATAATTACGATCACAGATGCACTAATTATCAATTAATTGTCAAAATGATTAACTATCACTAATTATCGAAACTCTTTCCATGCGACATTGTACGGCACTCTCTTGTTTACAAAGTTATACTAATAAATATTTAGACAAACGATTTAAAGCGATATAAAATTTATTATCCAAAGTATCCTTAGTTACACGATAATCAGGTAAAAATTGAATTTTATCTTTTTATGTTAAAAATCCACTTTCGATATACGGAACAGGTCGAATTACACTGTCTCAACTACACTTTGTTCGAGAGTCGAGGATTGACAACACCGTGACCTAAAGCGTGGTCTACAATAAGTTGCCAACACACCGCCAGTCGCAATGCTTCATGACAGCCAATCAGAAATATCACTAATTACTATTAACGCTTCTGATTTTGTTGCAAGATATTGCGACTGGCGACGGAGTGTTTGCAATTTATTGTAGACTATGCTTTAGTATAATCGCATGTTATACCAAATACTTATTCACTGCTGTTACGGAATATTTTACATTCACGAAATAAAATTCACACCAAATATTTCGTAGAATACGTTGTATTTTAAATTAAATTTGAATAATGGATTATTGCTGCATGTTTTACGCATCTCTTTGTAAATGTTAAGTTTTTAATGTCGTCTAAGATAATGATCACTTTTGTCCAATTACGAATTTTATTAAAAGAAAAATTAAATAATTTGCATATAATTACAATTAAAATTTGTTGCAATTATTAATTTATTAATGTCAAGTGATTGCTACCATTACATAATACTGTAAAAAGACAAAAGATAAAATCAATTAAAGGGATCCTAAAGGAAATTAGTCACATTGTAAATAACATTTACACACAGACGATTTACCATTGATACATTACTACATACTACTACATCAATATCTCACGCACACATAATAAATTTTTGTATAACAGTAACGTTTTAATTAGACATCTAAATCCAATTTTAAAAACTCTACATTGTTTTTTCACGTACAAATTACTAATCTGTGGACTACTATTTCATAAATATAAATTACACAGCTTTTGTACAAAGCAAATATTGTCACGATGTGACAGCTATGAAGCGTTATATTGAACTAAGAAACGAAGATCTCAATTTCGAAATTTTTTGTCATTCTCATAAACTCCACTTCACAGATACGTATTAATGCATATACTTTAATCCTGAACAAGAATTTTCAAATAAACTTTAAAAGAGAAAAAAAGTAATATATTGTTATACAAAAATTATATGATTTAGTTAATACAAACGACTTTAGGATTCCCTTAAGTATTAATAAATGGATTAATAATCATTCTTATATAAATATTTACGCTAATTCTATGTGATAGTAGTCAATTTTGATCATTTATAAAATGAAAAATCTTCAATATTTTTATATTATTAGGTGTTGGAATTAATTCGAAAAAACGCTACGAATTAATTCCAACACCTAATATAATTTCCTATTTTAATTGATACAAAAAATCTACAAAATATACTTTTAAAACATTGTGACGTGATTGTTGTATGTTGTAAAATATCTTGCATATCTAAAAACATATACAGAATTTCTTATACAATTTTTGTAGAGTTCTAATAAAAATGTATTACAAAATAATAATTAAACTAAGTTAATAACGATAATACAAACAATAATAATTCAACAAATTGACAAATCTACGTTTAATCGAAATGATTATTCATTTGTCAAATTAATTTTCAAATACAAATAAATATTAAAGTACATTAAAAATTATTAAAGTATATTTAAATGTTAAAATATATTTTAACATAATTAGACAAAAGTGTTTAATTCGAATGCCAATGACATCGTAAGAATAGACATCATACACCTATAATGACTCCTCTTACACTCAAACGACTAGCACTAATAAACTATACACACCTTTGTGATATGTCGTGTCTGTAATGTTATCCCCATCGCAGCACGTATTACACTCTAACTTTATCGGAAGATATCTCGACGGCATATCTGTAAAAAGATAACACGGGTATTCACACAACACACATCGTCGAATAGTGCCGAGCCTGTGCGCCCACGTTAAACGTTTACGTTTCTTTCCCGTAACGATAGAGGTGAAAAAACGGAAAATGAGCCTATCAAAGGGTGAATATACACAAGATGTTATTACCATTTAAACCTGTCTCAAAGGTGAATTATTAACATAAAAAGATATCGAACTTTATCATCAAGTGCAAAACCGAAACGAATCTGAATAAACGTAAGTAGATGCTTGTTTAATATTATGATTTCATATCAGTTTTATTGATCGTTGAAATAATTATTATGAATATATTTCTTGTTATTTAATTGTTTTAAAAATTTATGTTTGATTGTAAATACATTTTAATGAAATCTCTATAGTTTCAACATAACCAATGACTCACAATGATACATAGGTCATTATCAGCTACGTATATCATTCTCACAATTTTCTTATAACTCTAATTCTATATACAATGATTCATATGCAATTTTATGTACAGGTTGTAATATAAAGTTTATTAAAAAAAGCGCAGAACACACACACACACATTTTTTTTACGTATGTAATTGTAAAATACTCTAAAAAAAATGAATAACTAAATTTTTATAGTTGTTTTGATGCAATAGTTTGTATGCCAACATTTAACTAATGTTTCGTCAATAAATTGTGCTACTCAGGTTACATTTACTGAATAAAAATACTTATTTGATTTACCATTTATACTTTGATATGTATTTTAATATTTAATATTTAAAATTCTCATAATATAATACAATTTTTTCATGTTTCAAAAACTACACTAAAATAAATTATAAATTTTATAAATTTTATAAATTTTATAAACTACATTAAAAATAAATTATAAATTTTAATAAATATTTGTTGGATTAATTTTAAGTAAATATTTCTAAGTAATGTATTTGCTAAACATATACATAGAGAAAGTTTCTGTGCATAGATGGTTGTATGCATGCGTTGAAGAAGGACTTTCAAAGTGGTTCGTATGCTACCTAAAAGGTAGACAAAGGTGGTAGAAAATAATGGCAAATACTTTACTAACATACCATTCATTTTATTTTAATAAAAAGAAATTATCAAAGATGTGCGGAAACTTTCCCTAAACTTTAATATTTATTTGATACAAAAACTATTAATTTGATTTAATCATAATTTTTCTCATTGAATAAATATTTTTTTACTGTAAGTAAATGTTTATCTAGTATTATTCAAAGAAATATGTTTTAAGATCTAGTAAATTTTTTTCAATGTACATATATGGTCATTATTACATTATAACAATAATAAAAATGGAATTTCTAACCATAATTATTTTACCATACCAATTATAGTTACTAATACCAAACACTTTTCTCTCATCGTAATTAAAATACTTAACTAAATAAATGCTATATTTACACATGCACGAATGACATATTTGATTTCAATTAAAAGGCGCATCTCTTTCAGAAAAATGACAGTCCGTTTTCCTGAAGTAATAAGAAGCAGATCGGAAGTGGAAGGCGGTTTGGCAGGACCAGCGAATCCAATACCTAGTCAATCAATCGATTGCGGCTGCGGACAAATGCAATGTCCAAAGCTAGCGAAATTTGCAACGCGAAAACTCTTCGTGGGACTGATTTGTTGGATCGGTGTAGTGCAAGCTGCATCATATGCTTACTTTCACGTCACAGGGTCCACGATAGCTAGAAGATTTCAAATCGATCCGTATATAATGGGTGCGTATTATAAACGATGTAAAAAAATATTTCATTAAAAGATTTCTTATATAAATCATAAAATATTTATATTATATTTTAGTGCGAACACATTTTTAACATATGTGAGAAATTTGACATCAATAACTTTTTCTTTCAAGATTGTTTTGATAATAAAAATATATTTAGAATTTACTTGATACGATATGTGAAATTATTTGAATAAAAACGTTTTTAATACGAAAATCTGACATATAACATTTCTCAAAGAAATTTATTTTTTCAGATTGGATTCTCGTTACAGCAGAATTAACACCTATTGTACTAGGATTAGTGATAGCATATTGGGGTGACAAAATACACAGAGCTTCATGGATAGGAGCATTGACTCTTTTACAAAGTGTCGCGCATTTCGTTTTAATAATACCTCATTTAACACATCGCGTTCGTGTAATCGAGGAAACGCAAAATGTTACTCATATGTCATTGTATGCGGGTTAGTAGTCAAAGCATACGATGAAACTCTAACACAGAGTTTCTAATTTAACAATATTGAATAAAAATTGACCGAAAAATGTTCGAGATACAAAAAAGGCTATAATTGATCAATTGCAATTTACATTTGATTTGTTATTAAACAAAAAATAATTCTTTTTCATATCATATTTTTTAAATTTCATAGATGATAGTCCAGAATTATGTACTCCTGTATTATCGAGGATCATCTTAGAAGAAGAACCCTGCTATATTACTATGGTTATAATAATCCTAGTGTTAATCGTAAGCGGAATGTCAAATATCACATATTATGCGCTAGGAATTTCTTACTTAGATGATAATACAAAAAGAAAGCATGTGACCGGTTTCATTGGTATAATAATCGCTGTTAAAATCACGGGGATTGTTCTCGGGTACCTTTTGGGTTGGGGATGCTTGCGGTGAGTATTACGCATGCTTAAATTATTAGATATTATTATTATATTTGCAATCTTTAAAAATTAATTACGCATTAACAGAGCCGAATAAATGTATATTTATTTTTAAACTTATCAACTCGCGTCCCAGGATAGACGCGGAAGATTTTAGTGTTGTGAATTCATATCGAGATCAAATCGGAGCGTGGTGGCTTGGATTCCCAATTCTCTCCATATTATTGGTGATTCCTGGCTTGCTACTTTCATGGTTCCCAAGAAGATTACCTTCAGAAGTATATAACATTTAATATAAAATATAATATGAAAATATTCCTCTAATTAGAGAATTATTAGGTGTTGGAATTAATTCGTAGCGTTTTTTAATGAAAGAATGTTATTTATTTCACATGAGCATTAAAAAATACATTAATGAAAGTACTTCCCATCACTTGTAAAACGCTACGAATTAATTCCAACACCTAATATATTCCCTTAATTTAGAGAATTATATTTCTCTAAATTAATTATGTAAGATTTTATAAGATTTTATACTCACAAAATTTCGTTTCGAATTAATACTAATAAATTAATTTTATTAGTATTAATAATACTAAGCTATCTCTCTTTATATTCCATTCTCTCAAAAAAATTATTTTTTGGTTTAACATAATTATATTATTTCTTTTTAGGTTGTCGAACAAGCCGCAGCTTCACTTCTTGATCGAGCTGCGATTCGTAATCGAGCACCGCACAGAACAACCAGTCAAAAGGTCGGCAATCCCGATTTTTGGCCGTCATTATGCAGATTGTTTACTAACAGAATTTTAATTTGCAACATTCTGGCGACAGCATTCAGTGCCATGGCTCTTTTAAATTTTATGACGCTCGAGAATATCTTTTTAGAGTCCAGATTTCTCATACCTAGACCGACAGGAATGCTCCGTGGATTTGACGATCCTCTGCCTTCCAGGCTAGTTACCAGTAAGATTAAACAACATTTCTTTTAACAAGTATAAAAGATAAAAGAAGGAAAAGATAAGAAATTATAGCGATAGTCAGTTTCTTGGAATATTAATAATTTCTAATAATTTTCAATAGTTATTTTTTTTATAAAACAAAAAATCAAAACTCTTTTTCCAATTAATATTTTATAAGGGGGAGATTAATTGCAAATATTCTTAAACTTCTGTAATTGTATTTTTTACTTATGAAAAGAGAATGATATAACTGATAAATAGAAAACAATGACTAAATTACTGAGACTTAAAAAATATAAATATATTTTATTTCTAAATCACAAAACGTTGTAGAAAGTTAAAATATAGTTTTAAATAACATGTGAAATAATTTGTACGTAAAACAAATGCAATATTCACGTTCATTCTAGATATTGGAAGACCTATTCTGATTGGACTCGTTATAATCATTAGTGGCTTAGTGTTAGCCAAGGCAAAGCCACGAGCGAGATTTATTATTGGTTACAGTTTCATTATCGTGTTTCTGATAATTGCGATTATCATCGGACTAATCTTTGCTACTTGCGATAAATCGTCTGTCGTCAATTTAGAAAAAAGCTCGTAAGTACGAGCCGATTTTTAAAATTAACATTAATTGAGTGTCGTTAAAAATAAAACAAAAATATATTGTATCTCATTCCGTGACATTCACAAATTTCCCGATAATTACATAGAAAAGTAAGATTTATTGATTGTTATAGCGACACCTTGTTGAGATATTGCAACAAAGACTGTCGTTGCTCTAAGGACGCCGATTTTCGACCGATTTGCGATAGTTCGGGAGAGTTTACGTATTATAATCCTTGTTACGCCGGCTGCTCTACAATCATTTACGTCGACGACGTAAAGATTTATAGCGGTTGCAACTGCGTGGAGGAAATGACAGAGTGGGGTAATGACCAAGCGAAAGATGGCCCGTGCGATTCGAGTAAATGTCAGGTTGGCTGGATGGTATTTGAGGTGATTATATTTGTGTTTGTTTATTTAATTTTTAAATATATTATAAGTATTTATTTAATTAATTGTATTTGTAATGTAATTGTATCAATTATATTATATAAATTTTGACATTTAATATAGAATCTAATCAATTGCAAGTAAAAAATCTTTCTATTGTTCTTGTTTCAGTTTGGATCTTTATTGGCGTATACTTTAATCGCTTCCACTTTTGTAGGAGATATATTGGTCAATATAAGATCTGTCTACAAACAAGATAAAGCTATCAGCATAGGTTTCTGGATGATGTGGGTTGCAGTATTTGTTTATATTCCTGGCAAAATTGTTTATGAATTCGTCTCGAATCAGATGTGTCAATATTGGGGCAGTCAAAAGACAATTTGTCATTTACATAATTCCGAAAAACTCGGGGATTACTTGTGTTATTTGACAATACTATTTTTATCACTTTGCATTTTACTTAAAATTGTTGTTTGGTTTTTCTGCAAGAATTTACAGTTATACGAAGAAGTTGAAACGAAAGATCAAGAAAATATTGAGCTACAAGAAATGTACGAACCAGCATTAATAACCGAGCTACTCGAAACGTCAAATAACAATAGTAAATACTTTTTTTTAAATACTAAATTTAATTAGTCCGTAAAAAATTAAAGTTCCTCTTTTCTACAAAATAAATTAAAATTAATTCCTTTCTTTGTTAATTAGTACTATGACATGCAGTAATATTTGCAGATGATGAAATGAGAGAAGTGGAGGCAGTTGTTGAACCAGAGCTTGCAGAGACAAGAACAGCACCGGAGACAATTCAAACAAAACCGGAGGAAAATTCAGCGAAGAAAGAGGAAAATACTCAAAAGAGCGCACCTGTGAAGTTGAACGGCATGATGGTTCCATACAATCGTCGACCGGATTCAAATCCTCCGACAAATCACAATTCGCAATCATCGATCCGTAATCTCGACTCTGATGATGAATTAGACAGTTCGAGCGATGAGAGTAAGAAACGATCCAATATTCAAGTCGCTTATACACCGTTGGAACTCGATTCTGATGTCGAGAGCGATCTCGGCAGCGTTGGTCCTAGATCAAGAAAGCGCATTCCGAGCAAAGATTACGATCAAACTGAAGACGAGAAAGATCACCCCTCATCCAGAAAATCATCCCTAAAGCGCCAATTTCCAAATCCCGATCATTACGAAGATCCACGAAGAAGTCGAATTTCTAGATTCAAGAATCCGACTGGTTATCAGGACGATTCTTCGAAGACAAACAGTTCCAAGTTCGCGAAGAAGGGTCAAGAGAGCGAAGTACCTAAACAGGGAAACTTCAATGAAGTTGGCATACCGATAGTGAATCAGTTTCCAGACAGGAAAGGCAACTTGGGCAGTACCAATACGGCGCACTTGAGTGACGTGAAGTCATTGATCGATCGATACGAGCAAAACGCGAGTCAGGAAACTCTAAACGAAGATCGGTTATCAGAGAAGTCGACAGAGGATATGAGAAGTAGACCAGAGAGCAAGATAGGTATACCTCTGGTAGCTATGGTTCCCAGTAGGTCATCCTCTCGAGGACAATCCTCTTCAGGCTTTAGTAGCTTACCAGATATACAGGATAAGAATTCTGATCCACGTTCGGAAAGACTTGAGACTCCCAGTCCGAAAAATGTCGCTAAAGGTAGCAAAGTACCTCGTCAAACCGATCTTTAGAATTAGAGATCTAATCTAAACGTGATAGATAACGCATAACATGTGAAAATCGTACGATGCGGAGGAATTTATGGAGGAATGAATATATTCATTTGTACAATGGAAGCACTATCACGATAAATTTATATCTGCTAGCGATAAGAGGTCCCAATTTCAAAAATACATAACACTACACAATATTATCTCTGACACCTGTCACACTTAAGATATAAAATCATTGATTTAACTTCGTGTTTTGATAGATGAACAGTAAAATTTGACGTATACTTTCTTGAATTATGAATCGTAATATCAAGTTGTTCTAATTATCATGCAGAATTTAGAAATGTTGCTATTAATAAAGATATTTTTATCCGTAATACTCTAAAAATTTAATAAAGGATAGCCGGCTAATAAAATATTTGCTATATTTTATGGCATACTTCTATTCGTAGTCATCCTTTATAAAACGTAACGACATTCATTATAATTCTTTGATATTTATTACACGATTAAAGTCTATTCTAATTTTGTGAATTATTTCGCAATTTGCCTACTTCTTAGTAATGACTTCTTTTATATCTCACTTTACACATAGATTTAAATTCCTTCTAACTTTAATAATAGCAAATACATGTATTTCATCGTGAGTAGATAAATTACGATGTTTTTTTTTTACTAATTCAAAGTATAATCATTATATATGTACAATTATTTAACTTTATAGATAATTCACGCTAGCATGAATCGTTTACACTATCATTTTCCGTTCAAATATGAGTCCAAAATAAAACAACTATTTATACCGTACGTACAGCGAATTTATCTGTCATAACAATAAAAATAATTAATCGCAGTAAATTAAAATTAATAAAAGATCGATGATCGCTCTGCTTTTGCGATCACTATGGATGATCTACCAACAGTCGGTTCTATCTAGGTTACTATGAGCTTTAAATAGCTAAGGAGGTGCTTAAGGTACTTGTAAAGTCTTTATTTGTCGGTTCTCGCTCGCTTCGCGTTCGTCGTTCGCTCCTTCTTCGATCGAAGATCTTCGATCGAAGTCTCTCTTCACGCGTAAACGTTTACCCCGAAAGGGTGATTGAACTCGATCATCAATTATTCTTTAAAGCGTCTCACCAGGCTCCTCAGCTATATCTTCTAGTTCAATCTCCTCGTCAAAGATCTTCACGTCTTTGACGAAATACCAAACGCCCACATCGAATACTGTACCGATCGTTACAAAACCTAAAATGACAAACGGAGTATAATAAACTCGAACAACCAGAACTGTAGCCTTTGGATATTATTGTAAAATACTCACTAGCCGCGGTGAAATTCAGCAAATACCTCAATGCCTCACCATTATACAGCCAGCAATTTCCCGTCCCTGAACAAGTCTTACCCCATACGAGACAAGTATTGTCTAAAAGATAAAATATTAATTAGTTTCTCAAATAGGGCATCTCAAGCGAGTTTAAATGTAAAGATATATGGAGTATATTTTCAATGATGACTTAAAACTCTCTCCCCCTCTCCCTCCTCCTTCCTCTCTCTCTCTCTCTCTCTCTCTCTCTCTCTCTCTCTCTCTCTCTCTCTCTCTCTCTCTCAAGCATGTCGAAAAAAATAAATAAAGACATCGAGGATTTTATTTGTCATTTGATAACGTCAGGCAATCTGTCTTTGTCGATGTTAATAACCGCGCGCGTGTACAAATGAGGTTTATCACTAACCTAATATAAATCCAAACAAAATAGGCGATGGTATGAAAGCAAAAAGGCTCATTATCATTAATCCGAAGCCCAAATGCAGCAAATTCGACCCTCTTCCGGTTGCGCCGCTAAACTTCAAAAAACACACCACCGTCAGAAAGATGTAGAACTTCTGCATACAGTCGACTGGACACGAACCCGGAATAGCCGTTCCCAAAGTTTCCACGGTGGGTTCGGTCGTTTCCAATGGAACTTCGGTAAAGAATGGGAAGGATGTGATGTTGGAAAACGGATGCGCCAAGGAACGAGCCAATTTTGGTTTTACGCAATTACAGTCCGTATATACTTTGCTGCCGTTACTGTAAAGCTAAAAGTGAAAAGAAGAGATAAATTTAATTAATAGAAATTACACCAATAGAAATTACTAAAAACATCTCGCTTTTAAATGTGACAATAACTTAAAAATGTTATAACATGAAATTGAATTGTTTAACAAAGATTTTTTATTTCGTTTTTACTGGACTTTTTTTTATATAGGCAGTTTTTTCTAAGGTAAGATTGCCTTTCATAGAAAGATTGCGCAAAATGATATCAAACCTTCATACTGCGGCAGCCAGCATGACATGCGGATATAAACGTTTGTCCGTTATCGGAGCACACAGGATTATATTCAACGTAGTCGCAGTGACACTGTTCGTTGCAGGGTAGTTGTGTTTTCAATACACCATTCGGCTGAATAGCAATCTGGTTGTCATTCGCTGAGCAACCGAGAAAGGCGTAAGAGATCATTCCCAGTATTGATATAATGCCAATCATGACATTCCACGCCGCCAGGTACCTAGCCTTCGGCTTGTACTTGGAGATGACCAGACCGGACAATAAAATCCCAAAGGCACTGAATACCAAACCGACTGTGCCGGTAATCAATGACGAGACAGACGCTGATTGCTTATACTGAGTCTCAATGTACTTCGGCATAAAGATCCAGTAAGGCATGTAGCCCATGAAATAGAAGACTGTCGCCAGATTATTACACATTAGAGTCGTGTTCGTTATCAGGCGCTTAAACGTCCTCAACATATCCGAGATTGACGCCGGTAGCTCCGATTCTTGCTCCTTGATGCTCGCAGCCGATTTGTTGCGTTCCAGAGCTAAGACTTTGCGAGCGGCCGCTCTCGGCAGCGTTTTTGGAAAGAGAGCGATTATACTTGCGAAAATGGCGAGGAGAATGGCCAAAATAATCCATCCTAACCACCAAGCGCCTAACCACCTTAAATGTCATTAATGTAAATTTGTTAGATATAATTAATTAACAGGTTTTTCAAAACATTTATGTATGTAAATATCTTGTATAAATTGTTTGATAAATAATTTATTAACAAGACAGTAAATTACTGTTTAATTTCAATAATATAATTATTCTATCCTACATACCTTGGGTCTTGCATCGTGATAGTAGGAGTTAAAGTTGGACTGATGTAGAATTTCAAGGAGAATGAAGCTAGTCCGTAACCAATGGCGGGTCCCAGCATTCGCAGAAAGTACGAGAAGCTGATCAATGCCGGCGTTTTCGACTTTTGTATGTTGTCGTCCATGTACGACACACCGAGAGTATAATAAAGGGAACCACCCACTCCGGATACTAATTGGGCTATGAAGAGGAGCACCTGTGGCGCGAAGTTTCCATCTTCAACTTCGCAATCCATTCCGCGATTTTCTTTGCCCATACACAGAAATTTTCGTGAATGTTTTTCAAGAATCGTGCTTGTGTTTAGCGTACTTTGCGCTCCATATTCCTTAGTCAGGGATAGGGCATCCTCGCCAGGTCCATAGAGAAAATGTGGCAGCATCGTAAGACAACAGAAAAGTACAACCTGATAAAATGGACAATATTTTATCAATATTCGGAAATGATTTGCGCTTAAGTCGTGAGCTTTAAAGTACCTACATAATGGTCTTTATTAATTCTAACTTTACTTTTTTTATTTCTATCATTATTTTTTTTTTTTATAATTTATTGTGTCGTATTATAAATATTGCAGCACGCTCGACTATCTGTTTAACATCTAGAGCATTCCGCAAGCGCCTCTTTACGAAGAATGGAGCGCTTAGCTAAGCACACGACGACGAGAGTACGATGGCAAGAGGCATGAATGAGCGTAACTACGATTCTAACGCTTCCTAATTTAATTAAGAACCGACCAATCGGTGAGTTATGACGTCTACCGGCTCGTTTCTCGGGGCGTGTGCTGACAGCTGATTTCGTTTCTTGTCGACGCGAAAGTACGGCGCGCGAATAATACGCGGTGCACGCCGCATTAATCGATATCCGAGGATGCATGTGATAAAACTTACGGTGTAAATACCGAAAGCGATCCATCGAGGCCTGTGACCCCTTCCTGCGTAATACGACAGGGCGACGGATACGAAAAGCTGCGAGATGTCGTTACCCACTGTGATGAGACCTGCATGAGAAGAAAGTACGTACGTGACGTAAATTGTGTCGTAACAATTCATTTAATGACAGTCCTCACGCGAACGCTAATTCTATTTTGTTTTTAAACTGTTAAACTTGATTACAAACTATTTTAGATAGAAGACAACATTTTTGATTGTTAAAACTGCTAATTCTTATAAAATATTTTCTATGTAAGTAAATTAAATTATTAATAAAAAAGTTTTATCTATAACTAAAAAAATTTTGATAAAATTATAAATGTAATTAATTTGCTAAAATATTTGGCCAATTAATTAACAATTTAAATTTAGATATATATATATATAAGTAATGTCACTCCAACTTTGGTTCTATTTTTTATTTGTTAACAAAATATTCGATGCTTTTTGTAAAAAAAAAAAAAGATATAACTAAACATTTTTCATTTCTAATATTTGTGGATTAAATCTATTTTTGTGATATAGTGCATATATATAGTATTTAAAGTATAATGAAACATTATACATACCCGTTGTTTTCGAGGGTATTTTAAATCTCTTCTCGATGGTAGTGATAGTGCCATTGAAATAGGCATAACTTGCGGAAAATATGCAGCCAAGCACACCGTAGAGAAACACGTATGCCTTCTTATTGGCGAACTTTTGCAAAGTTGGACCCTTGAGGCACCATATGCCGCACGAGGTGTCGTCGGTGATCGGCAGCTCCTTGAAGACATCATCGAGGCCTCTGGTTGGCGTCGTGGGTGATGACGGCGTCGCGGGCGGTGTCGTCGGCACCTGTAATAGCTTCAGGTTCTCCGGCCCGTTCTTCTCGTGATTCGAGTTGCTCGAGTTGTTCTTCATCTTCGCCTCGACTTAATCGTCGCGACTGCCCGCAACTGGCAAGCGCCTAACACCAGTGGCTTCGAGCGAATTCAATGACCTCAATCGCGGGTCGCACGGTACCGATGTGACTTGATCGTCCTCGCGACTCTTGGCATCGCTTTTTCGTTCGGTCTGGACTCGCCCCCGCGCTCACTCGCGGAATCTACTCTTTTTCCTCTCGCACTGTCTCTCGTGTCCGTCACTTTATCACGCGGTCACGTGTTCTCCATGTTTCGACTTGGTCTCACCCAGGCAACACCTACGCCAGGAAATCTGGGGGTTGACTACGACTGTCGCGCGTGCAGCTTGATTTATGCTACGGGGATGATCAATGATGATGGAAAGATATCGATGGAAAAATTTAAACCTTGAGTCGAACTGAAGATAATGTATTTGTATAAAAAATCTCTGACACTGAATGCCAAACAGTATTATCAGATTGCGAGTGTTGAAATGGAATAATATTTGAACGATATCGCTAAAAAAAACTGACAAGAATGTAAAGACAAGGTATATCTTGATTGTTTCGTTTACTTAAATCGTGTAATTTTCATCTAAATAACGAGTGTTGCAATAAATTATACTCATATAAAATCGTTGTAGGAAATAAAAAAGTTTAAGCTTTTATATTATACTAATAATTTGTATTTCTTCATAAAATTGAATTACATATTTCAATCATGTATGATCAATGATGTTGCGAGTAAAAAATTCACGAACTGCGGCCACCTACCGCTGATGCAAGATGGACCCAGAGTTATAGTTCGAATAATTGACCGCCGAAATGAAGTATCGATATAGCGATCTCTTTTAAAAAAAATTCGATCGTTTCACGGTGAGTCAGCGTGGTCCCTCGCAAACTGCAGATTTGCGTCCGAAAACGAGCGATATTCTTCCGCAACTGAGGCGTCTAAACGCAACAGAGTGTAGACCGTTCTATACCTACTGAGGATCCCCACCTTCCGCCCCCCAAGGAGCCGATCGTACGAGAGACAGTCGCGATCTCTTTACACCTACTGTCCACCGTGCCGTTATCAAGCGGGTAAATTCTGTCTCTCACAATCAGCCTATTCCACCATCCCCTCCTCTCTGTCTCTCTCTCTCTCTCTCTCTCTCTTTTTCCTTTTGATTAGCCCTCTCTTCTTTTCCCCTCTAAACCAGTCGCGATTCTTTCGATCCCTCCTCTAGCCGTCTTCGTCGTCTACGAATGTCGTCGGCTCGATCTATCTTGGTCTATGTGATAACCTACACCTGTATGATGTTCAAAAAGGAGTAGGGAAACGATTGATTTCTACATAGAAAAAGAACAATTAATGGGGTAAGCGCTCGGCGCCCCGTGCTATTGCGAAATTGTACGAATCAGATGGCGAAGCCGTAAAGCACGTCTTACGATCTACTGCTGCGGTCTGACGGCTTAATTTTGAGCACCTCTTATAATCATTACCTGTGAGTTGTTAATTAATTAATTGCCATAATATCAGAATCAAGCTTCGTTCATATGCTCATTTTCGAGGCTTTTCAAAGTCACTTGATCCTTAAACAGTTACTTAATTGTACCTAATTGCGAACGCTCTATATATTAATTAATTTTTTTTTACTTATGTTGAGGTAAAAAGTATATAATAATAATATTTATTATATTACATTTATTGCGTCGATGATTTGCGACTTTTAAATAATACGCTATCTTATGACGTCTGACTCTGGATAGCAAGAGGAAAATTGTTGAGATAAAAAAGATATTGTATATTCGTGTATATATACGTGTATATATATATGTGCGTATCGAAATGTATGTACGAAGCACCTCTTTCGAAAGTTACTGCTCTACCTCGTTGAATCCCGGCATTGGTTGGTGAAACGGGGCATCCCTACCGGGGACTATTCGCGACGTACCGACCGCGGCGACGTGCACGAGGTCTTGGCTTTCGGTACGGTGTTGTCTAAGCTCGTTTCTAGTCAACCTCCGGGAGCAGAGGCTCACATTGTGGACCCATTATGATTTAATAGAGCCGACGTGATGTACACACGCACGCACACATAGGCACTCGGTAAACTCTTCCGTCTATTCCCGCGCATTGCTAATGGCATACATCAAACAGCTATGTCGCTAATAGCTGATGGGTAATTGCCGAAGTTTAATTTTTATACTCGTCGAATGGCCAGACCACGTGGCCATGCATATTATATTACCATGTTGTTAGATTCACGATCGTATCGACCGTTTCGATCAAGCGTTTTCCGAAAGATCATCAATAAGATGGTGGATGAATAATGAACGAATAACGAACGATTTCAAACTTAAAGTTTGTCTATATTTAACGTTGCATCTTTTCGTCTCAGTTGCATTCAATTTGTTCGCCCTAAGTAAGATGCTGTTATCATACGATGGATTTAAAAAAGAAAAAGAAAGAAAATTGCATTTCTGTTATTCGAAATAATCTTAAATAAATATCTGGCTATCTCATCTTGCGCACAGAAGAAGCAAAATGACGTTTAATACAAATTTTCTTATCACGTTTGGTAATCTGTATGCCTAAATGACTACCCAAACTCGCGTACAAATATGTTTTAACGTTGAAAAAATAATTCGCACAACAAGAGAATGCTTAAAATACTTATGAAAAATGAAGACTTTCTAGATATTTATAAAATAAAAAATCTAAAAAGTCATACAAATCGGTCATTCATCATTCGCGTCAAAGTTAAGTGATATCAAATTAGCTGAGCTTTCGTTTCGCAAAGCAACATTTGCCATGATTTGCAAGAAATATCTTCCTAGCGGTATTTGCATGCTCACAAACCTGCCGAGACAAAAGAAAATTTACATCTACGATAACAACATCATAAATACACCAAGTAATACACCGTGTGTACAAATTTCTTGAAAACTTCGATCTGCCGTTTGATGCATGCAAATAAAACTTCGCAGAAGTACTCGATATCAATTTGTTAAGATGTTAAAAGCTATTGCTATAGAAGATGCATTTTATTCTTTATGTAACTTGTAGTTTACGCATAAATTGGATTTATTACAACTATATATTATTTTAAATCTTTATTTATATAATCTTGTTATAATTATTTCTCGATAATTAACAAACACATCGAAATCAACAAACACATTTTATCATTTCTAGAATTTCCATTTTTGATGTTTTTGTGTTAATGTAAAAATTAATAAGTAGAATTTAAGTTTGTACTGCAAGATTTATGACACTTCGAAGAGCGTGACGTTGACCAGGTTTATAATTGGCGAGACGTTTTCCATTGTTGAAAAAAATCCAAAATCCATTGTGATTTATAAACTCTCTATTTGCATGAGTCTTTTGCAAGATGTTTACGCAACCTGATTTGTGTATATCATTCGAAGGCTGCCATCTTCTTGGACTGAGGTAAAATTGAAAAAACTCTTGAATCCACCAATATGTGCTATTATAATAATCAATTATATTATGTTAAATGCATTTTTATTTTGTATGTTAACATTTTATAGATTATATTTATAACAAAACAATTTATATTAAAAGATAATAAGAAATTAATGCTATTAATTTAAAAAAACAGTGATAATTCTTATAAATCCATCAATATACATGGTATTAAATTAATAAAATCTGATGAAAAATTTGATAAGATAACAACAATTTTTAGTGCACTACCTATCTTATGAGATATATAATAGTACTTGAAAATTCCCTTCAATGCCACACGTTTTATCATTGATGATACAACATACTGGCATATCCACAATTTTTATTGCTTTTAACTTTCATAAATTAACATATTGTAAACATTTTTTTTTCAATCCAAACACTAGACATTAAGAAATATATCAAGGAAATGTATTTATGTATTTTGATTAGTAAAAAAGTTGTAAGCAGTAAACAAAAGTTTTGAAAAAGACTATTAAAAAAAAGAGGAACATCGAGAACGATATTGAAGACTTAAATTAGATTAAGTAAGAATGATTACACTATTCTCATCCAGATGTTACACATTGCCAATAATCTGCTAAATGTATATTTACACTCGAAGACACGTGTCGCTTGCACGATATCATGAATCAATTCTATTGCAATTTCTCTTTGTATCATATTCCGTTGAAATGCACATGATAAGTTAATTTACAAAGTACAAGGTTACTTCACCAGCACATGGACAAATTTTGCTTTAAATGGCACAACCCACTTGCGTTTGTAAATTACGCAGCATTCGTAGAATGACAGAAGGAACGCCGGATGAGCTGCATTAGTATCATTATTATTACAGCAGAGGTAATAGTCAAGTATTTTTGTCGAGTTGAGTTCTGGCCTTTACTTGCGATTAGTTCTTTATGTTACCTGTCTGCCCGTTTGTATCGTAGCATGTTAACACGTTCTCTGGCAGTTTAAAAAAAAATATAATTTCTTTTTATTAAAAAAAAGGATACGAAGTGTCGAATGTTATGTGACATATTGTGATCCACGTGTTTTTTTTTTCAAAAGAAAAGTAAATCTCGAGGTGGATCAAACATAATCGAAAATAAAAGCGGCACGATCCTTAAGCTTAGAAGTGGTGGAAGGTGAGTAAACCGATTGCTTCCGGTCATCTATATCACACGCATCTGTCCTTTATCGGGCAACCTCGCTTCTAGTCTGATCGGACTGTACCTCGACTTAGAAGACGTTGATGAGGTCTATATGAAAGATGGGTCAGGGTCATGCACAATGCAACCGTGTACACACAACAGCAAAACTTCCTTATACCAGATCGAGGCACGAAGAAGTGATAATTTCCATTCTTTTTATAGATAATGTTCTTATCATAAAAATTTGTATTGAGTATATGCATTTTTTTTATATTCCCAATATTTGAAAATTTTAGATATTTGAAAGATATTATCAAAAAAATGCAAATAGTAAACAATAATTTATACAAATAAACTATCCTTCTTAAGATTGTAAAGTAGTTATAAATATAATTATTAAATATAAAATCTCCAGGTAATTTCTATAAAATTATATGCATACTATATAAAACAATCATAGCATTTTTCTCATATATGCATTTTTTCTTTAAATTAAATTATTATACTTCAAACAATAAAAATCGATAGAGAATTTTTCATAAATGAATTTCCTATTGCACTTCGCTTTACTGTTATCAATAACGTAGCAACGAATCCTCATTCTCGTCAATGTTCAGAAAAACATTCTTAGTCGCCTTGCAAACCTCATTTTTCCTTATTTGCAACGGAATAAGGTAGAACGCTTAATCGTAATGCCGAAGCGCATCCTCTAATGGTGTTCCAAAGGATGCGATCAATAGGGACGACCTGACGTCACGGGAACGTCGCGGAATTCATTATACGGGCCAAGCCGCCCGCTTTAGTTGGGTGGGCTTAAAAATTAAAAGGCTCTCAAACAAAAACTCCCTTTTTACCTTCAGCCTCGTGGGATGTAATCCCTCCGTCCGGTAGTAGCCCGTATGCCCCCACCAAACCCCCTGAATTTCGGTGGCTTGAAGACAAGCCCTGAGATTTTACCTCCACCTTCCACCGTCTCGACGCTTCTTCCCCTCTCATTCTAAAGCTAAGGAGCGAGCACGGTCCAATTCACCGATCCACAATGTAGTTTTCCGAATAAACCCTTTCGTCTCGCGGTGCGTTTGTATTCTGCTTGCGGGAGATTTGGCGTACAATAAAAATAACGAAGGGTGAATATCCTTATCGGAATAACAAATCGTTCAATATTGATCAAAAATTGTAGAAAAAAATAAAAATAATTATTAATGTATAAATTTTTAATTTTTCTAAAACCTTTATGTGTACCGAAAGGAAGATCCTAATAAAACTTCGCCAATTTTTTGCTGACAAAAAATAAAAATTAAAAATTTGCGATGTTGAGACAATACGCGATAAAACGTGAGGGTAATGTGTTAACAAAAAGTAAACGTAATTTATTTACAACGAAATAAAAATGAGCATGATTTAAAAATAAAAGTT